AAAAAAAGAAATTGTATGTATACAAGGATCTTTTTGTAGCACTGAATATGATAGTGAAAAATCTATGACAACATTAAGGCCCTAAAGAATAGTTAAATAAATTGGTAGTTCTGAGCTGTAAACTCCCTGCAACATGAAGTGTGAAATAAGTCTGTATGAGCTGACATGGCAAAGTCTTTGTGCAATATTGAGTTTTAAAAACGCAAGTTTCGGCCTGGCGCAGTGGCTCATGCCTGTAATCTCAGCATTTTGGGAGGCCGAGGTGGGTGGATCACTTGAGATCAGGAGTTCAAGACTAGCCTGGCCAAGATGGCAAACACGGTCTCTACTTAAACTACAAAAATTAGCCGAGCGTGGTGGCGGGTGCCTATAATCCCAGCTACTCAAGAGGCTGAGGCAGGAGAATCGCTTGAACCGAGGAGACAGAGGTTGCAATGAGCCGAGATTTGCACCACTGTACTCCAGCCTGAGTGACAGAATGAGATTCTGTCTCAAAAAAATAAAAATTTAAAACCAAGTTTCAAGAGGGGAGTTGGGGAGAAGAAAAAAAGCAAGTTTTGCTGGTTGAGGTGGCTCATGCCTGTAATCCCAACACTTTGGGAGACTGAGATGAGTGGATCACCTGAGGTCAGGAGTTTGAGACCAGCCTAGCCAACATGGTAAAACCCTGTTAGCCTAGTGTGTTGGTGGGTATTTGTAATCCCAGCTACTCAGGAGGCTGAGGCAGGATAATTGCTTGAACCCAGGATGTCGAGGTTGCAGTAAGCCGAGATCATGCCATTGTGCTCCAGCCTGGGTGACAAGAGCAAACCTCCGTCTTCAAAATATATAAAAAATAAAAATTGGCTGGGCGCGGTGGCTCATGCCTGTAATCCCAGCACTTTGGGAGGCCGAGGCAGGTGGATCACAAGGTCAAGAGATCAAGACCATCCTGGCCAACATGGTGAAACCCTGTCTCTACTAAAAAATACAAAAATTATCTGGGTGTTTGGCATGCGCCTGTAGTCCCAGCTACTTGGGAGGCTGAGGTGTTAGAATCGCTTGAACCCGGGATGCGAAGGTTGCAGTTAGCGGAGACTGCGCCACTGGGCTCTAGCCTGGTAAGTCTCCATCTCAAAAATAAATAAATAATTTAATTAATTAAAAATAAATAAAATAAAAATTTTTTAAAAGTTTTTTGGGGGGTTTTTTTTGTTTTGTTTTGTTTTGTTTTGTTTTGAGATAGGGTCTACTAAAAATAATAAATTAGCCAGGTGTGGCGGTGCATACCTGTAGTCACAGCTACTTGGGAGGCTGAAGTGGGAGGATCACTGGTGCCCAAGAAGCACAGGCAGCAGTGAGCTGCGTTCACAGCACTGCATTCCAGCCTGGGTGATAGAGTGAGACCCCGTCTCAAAGCAAGTTTCTGGATAACTTAAATATTGTGGTGCCATTTGTCTTATAAAAAGAAAGAAAACCACTGGGCACGGTGGCTCAAGCCTGTAATCCCAGCACTTTGGGAGGCCGAGGCGGGCGGATCACGAGGTCGAGAGATCGAGACCATCCTGGTCAACATGGTGAAACCCTGTCTCTACTAAAAATACAACACATTAGCTGGGCATGGTGGCGCATGTCTGTAATCCCAGCTACTCAGGATGTTGAGGCAGGAGAATTGCCTGAACCCAGGAGGCAGAGGTTGTGGTGAGCTGAGATCGCGCCATTGCACTCCAGCCTGGGTAACAAGAGTGAGACTCAGTCTCAAAAAGAAAGAAAGAAAACCAGGCTGGGTACAGTGGCTCACACCTGTAATCCCAGCACTTTGGGAAGCCGAGGTGGGCAGATCTCTTGAGGTCAGGAGTTTGAGACTAGCCTGGCCTGGCCACCGTGGCGGAACCCCATCTCTACTAAAAATACAAAAATTAGCCAGGCATAGTAGCACACTCCTGTAATTCTAGCCACTAGGGAGGCTGAGGCAGGAGAATTGCTTGAACCCAGGGACAGAGGTTGCAGTGAGCCGAGATCGAGCCACTGTACTCCAGCCTGGCACCTGGTGATGGAGCTAGACCCCGTCTCAAAAAAAAAAAATGAAAAAGAAAAAACCACATGGTTGAAAAAATGCTCTGTTCTCTCTGAAGATTTACATATATAAAAAGTCTTAACAAAGAACCATTCAGATTCTAGGGTTTAGACTCATAAGGGGTCTTCCCTGACCACCTTTCCTAAGTTTGAGTCTTTCTCATTTGCCAGTCTGTCCTGCTGGTCTTTATTACTATACTGTTTCCCTCATGCCCTATCATAATTTATATACATTTGTATTATATCTTCTTTTTTTTTTTTTTTTTTTTTTTCTTCTTATTTATTTTTTTCAATTGTAGGTATACTAGACTACTTGATATTGTTTAAAAGCCATGACGTTTTTTTTTTTTTTGAGATGGAATCTTGCTCTGCCACCCAGGTTGGAGTGCAGTGGTGCGATCCCAGCTCACTGCAGCTTCTGCCTCCCGGGTTCAAGTAGTTCTCTGCCTCAACCTCCTGAATAGATGGGATTACAGATACCTGCCACCATGCCCAGTTAATTTTTGTATTTTTAGTAGAGACAGGGTTGCAGCATCTTGGCTAGGCTGGTCTTGACCTCCTGACTTCAGTTGATCCACCCTCCTTGGCCTCCCAAGTGCTGGGATTTACAGGCGTGAGCCACCGCACCTGGCCCCTATATCTTTATTTCTATTTTACTTGAATATTGTCTATTTTCCCACCTACTACACCTAGCCTATAAAGTGGTTTGAATAGTATGTGCCTCCTAGGCTTAGTATGAAGATTAACTGAAAATATATATTCTTATTATGTATGTACCCATAATAATTACAAATAAAAAATCTAAATATAAAATACAATTCCCTCCCCCAAAAAGATTAATGACATTAAAATTTATGAATGGCTTAAAACACTAACTGAAAAGAAAATACCCAGAGGCCAGGCACAGTGGCTCATGCTTATAATCCCAGCACTCTGGGAAGCTGAGGCAGAAGGATCACTTGAGCAGTTGAAGACCAGCTTGGGAAACATAGTGAGACCCCATCACTACAAAAAATTTTAAAACATTAGCTGGGCATGGTGGCATGTCCCTGTAGTCCCAGGTACTCAAGACCCTGAGGTGGGAGGATTTTCAGAGCCTAAGAGGTTAAGGCTGTAGTGAGCCATGATTGTGTTCTTATACTCCAGCCAGGGTGACAGAGCAAGACCCTGTTTCAAAAAAAAAAACGAAAGAAAATAACTATCTGGACACATAGTAAACACTATATAAATATTTATTAAATGAAATAAAAGCATTAGAATTAGAGCATTCGTGACATCCTAAAGTCAGTATCAAATAGCCTTTTTCTTTTCTTTTCCTTTTTTTGAGATGGAGTTTTATTCTTGTCGCCCAGGCTCGAGTGTAGTAGCACAATGTCAGCTCACTGCAACCTCTGCCTCCTGGGTCCAGGTGATTCTCCCACCTCAGCCTCCCGAGTAGCTGGAATTACAGGCTCCTGCCACCACCCCAGCTAATTTTTTTTTTTTTTT